GGGGGCTGGGGGCTCCGGGGCTCGGGGGCTCGAGGAGATAGCAAAAGTTTGGAACAGCTGCCGTGGGGAAGGCACCTGGGAATCTCAGGAGCCAAATGGCAGACAGACAGGCGGAGGCTGGAGGGCGTGCAGGGCGCTGCGGTGTTCTGCCATCCGCTCTGCAGTGTTTAGCGATCTCTCCACCTACTTTCTGCAGCTTGGAGGCAGAAACAGGAAGCGGGCGGTGGTGTGACCCAGGGTTGGAGATTGGGCCAGATAATGGAGGGTGGCTGCGGGTGGCAAGGTGACAGTGAGAGCCTTGTATACATAGGCGGTCAGGACCAGGGTGAGGCCCTGGGGTGGGGCGGGAGTTAGGGGCTGCTGCCTTTGGGAGCAGGTTCACTGGGTGGGTATGGACAGTGAGTAGGAAAGGGGCAGTGGTTGTGAAGGGTCCTGGAGGTAGGGAGACCGGTGGTTCGCGGTGTCTGGTGGTGGACAGTACTGCAGTTGAGGAGCTAGAGGTCTGGGCACCGAGGATGGTGATGCAGGGATGTCCGTGTGGCAGGCAGAGAGGAGCAGCTGCCTCACACCTCCCTGGAGTGTCTGAGGGAGGCAGATGCCTGGGGGGTGGTATAGAAGAAGATCTCAGACTTCCACAGAATGGCATGGGCTTGTGAGTGGACCGGAGAGCAAGGACTGGCTGAGTCACTTCTAGCCCCGAGCGGCCAGGCAGGGAAGACTGGAGGAGGAGGAAGGCGCACCTCACATAGTAGGGGCAAGTGTCAAGGGGAGGAGATGACAGGAGTTTTAAGGGCAAGTGGCTGAAACAGGGTAGTGAGTGGACACAGCCGTAGATGCAGGTGGGGTATGGCATGGCTGGGGCCAGAGCGAGGGGAGAGTGGCCCTTGGAGGAGGTAGGCGGAGCCGTGGAGATTCTGGGTATTGAGGAAAGGGCATGAGCAGGTAGCTCCCTCAACGATGGGGTCATAGGTGGGTCACTACTACAGGGGCGAGTATCCGCCAACCCCAACTTCTGTGCAGTGTCTCTAGGAAGCAGGGGTGTGGCTCAGACAGCCCTCCCAGAGCCTCAGGGTCACGCAGTGCCCTGTCCCTCAACCTTTTCCCCTGCCTTGGCCTCCACCAGCCTCCATGGCTCAGGATCCCTAAATAGGAAGGATAGTGGCCTAAGGAGTGGCCTTGGGCCTTCTCTGGGGCCTGCCGGGGAGGGAGTGGTCAGAAACTTCTACTCCGGAGGATCCCGGGGTCCTGGGGGGCTGGGGCTGCTGCACACAGCTCGGTTTAACCTGTGATTCCCGCCTGTTGTATCCTCACGCTGACAGGGGCTGCTCAGCAGGCGGGACGGGTAGGTGTGCGTGTGCGTGTGCGTGTGTGCACGCCATTGCCATCCCCTCCGTGGAGGCCGTGTCTGAGCATGCTCTGTGGAGTCGATCGTGGCCCTGGCGTGTCCGGTGCTTCAGTGACCTGAGCTGCTGTGTGCGTGGCCTCCGTCCGCTCAGTCGTTCTGGCCTGTCTGTGACTGCCCTGGGGGTCTGGGCAAAGCGGGTGGCAATGCCTCACTGTACAAGTTCCAGGCTGAGGCCATCCCTTCCCCTCTGTCATTTGTGTGGTGCAGGGGCAGGGGCTGAAAGGGGGTCAGAGGAGCTTCGAGGGTCAAGCCTGACATCTGGGAAAGGAGCCGGGAGCTATCCTCACTGGCAGGGAGCCCAGTGGCCTGGGAGGGTTTTGGGGACGAGTGACCCTTGAGAGCATGTTGGGGTTTCAGGTGCGCTCCCCGGGGGTCCCAGGACCCCTGACTCTGAAGGAGGTGGAGGAGCTGGAGCAGCTGACCCAGCAGCTAATGCAGGACATGGAGCATCCTCAGAGACAGAACGTGGCTGTCAGCGGTGAGCCCGCCGAGTCCCCGGGAGGACACCGCCCCTGCCTTACGGAGCCAGCCGGCCTGCGCTCCACGCCCCAGGCTCCGCCCTTCCTCCTACCAATGCTCTTTTCTCTGGCCCTTCCAGAGTCCTGTGGCCGGTGCCACCAGCCCCTGGCCAGATCGCAGCCGGCAGTCCGCGCGCTGGGGCAGCTGTTCCACATCACCTGTTTCACGTGCCACCGGTGCCAGCAGCAGCTCCAGGGGCAACAATTCTACAGCCTGGAGGGGGCGCCCTACTGTGAGGGCTGCTACACTGTGAGTCTGCCTGGGCCTCGGGCTGGGGTAGGGCAGCCGAGTTTGGGAAGCTGGCCCTGGGGTGCCAGATTCCCACCAACCCCTGCCCACTGCCTCGTCAGGACACGCTGGAGAAGTGTACCACATGTGGGCAGCCCATCACCGACCGCATGCTGAGGGCCACGGGCAGGGCCTACCACCCACAGTGCTTCACCTGCGTGGTCTGCGCCTGCCCTCTGGAGGGCACCTCGTTCATTGTGGACCAGGCCAACCAGCCCCACTGCGTCCCTGATTACCACAAGTGAGCACCTCCCAGGGTGGGCCCTTCCCTTGGTTCCAGGCTGCTGCCCCAGGCCCCTGGTCTTGCTCTCTGGCCACTCTGTGGACAAGCAGGGACTTTCATCTGGGTTTAACTGTCCAGGGGTTCAGGCCTGGGGCATACCCTGCCCCCTGCAGATCCCTCTCTAGCCTTTGGCACTCTGAGGCCCCCTTCAGGTGTGTGTGGTTTCTGGCAACCTGTGCCAGAATGACTTCCTCTCACGTCCTGGCCGTGCTCTGAGTGCATTGGGGCTGGTGGGAATACTGGTTTCTCCCTAGAAACAGTGAATACCGGGTGACAATCCTCAGACCTCGGCACTTTAATGTGGCCACCAGGTGGTCTGGGGACACTGCAAAATCTGCCCCGGCTATTTTCAGGGTTCCACCTGGATGGCCAGGACTTCATACCCACCTAGACTGCCCAGTGGTCTGAGCAGAGGCACTGAATGTGGGTTTAGGGTGTAGGCTAGGGTCAGGGATCCCAGGATGGGTGAGGGAGGGGTGCCTCTGGGCGTGCTTTCGACAACAGCTGCCTTGTGGACGGGCAGAGTGGGTGCGGACAGGCGGGAGAAAACACCTGACAGGTGTGGGAGGAAGGGCGAGAGGCCAGGAGTTCCAGAGGTAAGGCCAGTCTTGGGCTTTCCTGCTGCGCCCCCTCCAGCTCATTACCCTGCACTCCCAGGGACGGGCTGTGTGGCCCGGGCCCCC